GAAAATTTTAAATACAAATCAATTGGTTGGTGGTTATAATCCAATTGATTGGAATGGAAATATTCAATATAAAAATACAACAAAAAGTTTCTTATTTTCATGTGATCTTAATAATCCTCAAAGTGCAAAATTAGGACACGTTATTAACAGTACTTATGCAATTTATTGTAATAATGGTTTGGGACCATCGTTTGGAGGTAGTGATTTATGTGTACTTAATAATAACTGTAATTGGCAATGTAACGTAGGTTCATACCCTAGCATCAATATCTCAGGTTCAATTGCGATCTCTGATTATGAAGTATTTCAAGTAGTTACGAAAAATTAGTTTTCATTATTAAATAAAAGAATTTAATTAATACTTAATGAAATATAGGGTGTTCTCAAGCAGGTCAAAAAGTGTCAGGGAATAAATTTATTTGGCGGAAAATATTTAAAATTGAATAAAGGAAGTTTATCATTACAATAAATATGCATAACTTGATAAAGTTTATTACGTAAATAAAATTAGTAAAAGGTTTAAACGAGTTTGTCATTTCAATCAACAAACTTTTTACAACTGACCACATTTTTTTATACCTGCCTTTGAAAATTTTACAATCAATTGAGTATTCAAAGAGATCGCTCAAACAGAATTGTCATTCAATGAATTATAATTTTACTTCTCGCATTAAAAGTTTTCATGGAAAATGAAAAAAAATCGAGAAGCCCAAAAAACAACAACAAATACTTATCATCTCTTAACTTTCAAATTCTAAAGCGGTATCGTATTTGGAGTTTAAAATACTTTTCTTGATTAAAGTTACTTGGCGATTCATAAAAAATGGGAGGTAGGGTACTGTTGTTAAAATAACATATTGAAGTTGGCAAAATCGGTAAATGGAGTAATAGGAACATTTGAAGTTGATGCTTCTTTGGTTGTGTTCGAGCATCAATTTTTTTCTTGTTGGATTACTTTTTATTTTTATTTATTGATAGTAAACATTGATAAATAATAGTGATCAATTAAAACTGCTCAAGTATTGATTGCAATTTCTATTTAAATTGATTGTAGTAAATGAGCAGAATTACTTTTACTAACAAATGGTATAGAGGGCGATGCTTGAGAAAACTTCAATTACGTCATTATTTGCATAGCGATAGCTAAAAGTTTACTTTATTGCACGGGTCTTATGTGACAACCCGTGCTTTTTTCATTTACTTATTGACACGGGATTGTTACGTCAAACACCGTGCAATAAAATAGTTATTATATGGGTTGAATAACCCAGTTATTCACACGGGTTCATATTTAAATCCCGTGCCTTCGGCACGGAATATGAACCCGTGTGTAACTGGGTTATTCACTACAACCCATACAATAACTATAAATTATTATATTTATGCTTAAGAACTATTGCGATCAATATCTAATAACACCACAGTTGACGCTTGAGAACACCCATAAATTAATTAATAGAATAATTATATGATAAAACTAATTAAATAAATTAATAAATTAATAAATTAATAATGCAGTAATAAGATTTCTTATAAGGAAAGTTTCATTTATCTTAAATAGTAACGTTACTCCACACTCTCAAATGATAAATGATAATTTGTACGTACGTACCAGAGATTTTTAATACTATAATCAATGGGCAAAAGTACAAAAAAATGTTTAATCTAGATTACAGTATATATAAAATATTCGATTTATTGATGATTAAAAATAAAAGTCTGAATTTATTACGCTCAGGGACATGCGAAATCTGTGATATAATTTAATAAATTTTTTGTTTTTTATAAAGAATAAATTATGTGATTTACTGTGATTAACTGTTGATTAAAATTAAAGTACCGATTTAATAAATAAATTTGACTATACTATTATCAATATAGCTACATTTTGCAATCGATGTTTTCTGTGATTTACTGTGATTTACTTCGATCACAGAAAATCACAAAATTCGCATGTCCCTGATTGCACTTTTCAAATTACTGTGATCATCAGATAATCGTTCACACAGAAATTTACAAAATCTTCTCGTTTTTTACAAATTGCCATTTAAAAAAAAAAAAAGATTATCTGCTAAATACTAACCTTTTGTTATATTTTTATATTGAATATTTCCATTCCAATCAATTGGATTATAACCACCAACCAATTGATTTGTATTTAAAATTTTC